GTCATGCCTTCTTCTGCAACCAGCTTTGTCGTGCTCTAGTCTCCTAGGTTTCTAGGTTCATTCTGTCCTGAGCCAAGAACTGATCAAGACAAGCACAAATGGTAGCAAAATTTCACTAAAGAAAATAAACAAGCTCTGCAGAGAGAATCTGCACTAAAAGTAGGAACTAAAAGTAGGAAAAGAAGCACATCTTACATTGTGAGTATGGGCCACCATGCAAGAGAACAGTGGCACACTAGTCCATCAAAAACCTTTCCAAGTTTTTCAAGAAGTCAACATGCAGAATTTTGTTCGATGTATGTGTTCTGGAATCTTGTCACGCTTCCTTTTCCCAGTTAGCCATGCCTTCCCCTTCTGTCTTAACAATGCCAGTAACATTAACTCTTTTTTATTTGGATTCTCATGCCATTTATTATCATCTGTCTTATGTGGCAATGTGGGGACATACTGAAAATTTTTGAGTTCACTCTCATGAAGGAGCACTGGCCAGGTGGCTGTGGCTGTCAACACTCCTAGAGCTTTTCTGAGCAGTCGGAGACAATGCATTAAAAGGGTCTGCAGCTCAGGAGGTAGTGAGGAGCCGGTCATGGTCCTTCCTCTTTAGGTTCAAGATTCTGCTTCCCCACTATAGTTTATTTATCTGCTTTACACAAACAGTTGTTGCATCAGGGATGCACTGCAGGGATGAGCACTAACAAGGATCATAAACTCAGCACCAGTAACAAATTAATAGTAGAGTTTAAAAGAAAAGGAAGACATTTTGTGAGATAGAAACAAAAATTGGAAGACAGGAAGTTGCCACATGTGAGCTGAGGGCTGGGAATCCAAATAGGTTCCCACATGGTTTTTTGTCCCTGGCTCTTTTTATCAGGTGATTAACGATCCTCCCTCCCAGATTGGTACCTGGATCTGTCATAACCCCATTGGCTCTGTGGAACATCATAATGGATCCCAGGCCACAGAACCCTAAATTTGAGTGCCATTGCCTATGTTCACATTCCTAGGAGGATTTTGTTTGATTTGTCTTCCAGTTTGTCCCTGTTAGGGTCTTATCTCTGAGATCTATAGGTTGGTTAGGAGGAGCCCTGCAGCAATACAGCAGCCCTAGAGTAGGGAAAAATACCTATCCATATAGATACCTAATATATAGGTTATATATTACACACATACACACTAAATAGTTTTCCTTAGGTAGCCCCCCTTTCTTTTTTGGATTTTATTAGAGATAGGGAGGGGTTACTGTCTTAAGTTTCCTAAATCTGGCTCCCTCCAGCTTAACTCTTGCTAGTCAGGATTAGCCAGAAAACCTAATAAGGCTTTCATGCTCTTCTTTCTTCCTCTAGGCTCCTTTTCTCTACTTGCTTATGAGCTAATTATATGATACAAATACATTAAAGTCTCTGAATTCAAATCAGAAGAGTACTTAAAAAAAAAAAAACAACACAAAAACTTCCTCTTGTAGGTCTAGCACACATTTACTAAAATTCTCTTCTTTAGCAGCCTTCCATGCAGTTAAATGGCAAACCAGCCCCCACTTACTCTGAGCTAATTATATGATACAAATACATTAAAGTCTCTGAATTCAAATCAGAAGAGTACTTAAAAAAAAAAAACAACACAAAAACTTCCTCTTGTAGGTCTAGCACACATTTACTAAAATTCTCTTCTTTAGCAGCCTTCCATGCAGTTAAATGGCAAACCAGCCCCCACTTACTCAAGCTAAAGCCATTTGTAGTCATCTTTTTTATTTCCCCCAACAGCAAATCCTATTACATTTACCTCCAAAGTACACTTAGAATCTGCCCATTTTTCATGACTCTGGTAAGAGCCACCAATATCATCTCTTAGCTGCACTACCCTAACAGGTTTCTGACAGATTTCTTTTTATCCTTGCCTCTCTATTCTAACCTTCGACAGTACTCATAATAACTAGAGTAAATAATTCTTTTAAAGAATAAATCAAATCATAGCACTCTTCTATTTCAAACGGCTGTAATGGCTTTCCTTCTGTCTGAGTAAAAACCACATCCTTAAAGTTACCAGTGAGGTACTGCTCTGCCTCTGTTAACTTTCTGATCTGGTCTCCAACTACTCTACTCTTTTTCTATTGGCTCCAGCTAGCCTGGCTCCCTACTGTCCCTAGCGCACATCAGATATGTTCTTACTTTGGGGTCTTGCCATTTTTTTCTTTTTGTCTGTAATATTCTTTCCCCTAGAGAGCAATACAGGTCAGTCCTTCAAGTCTTTACTATTTCCTATGGAGTCTTCTCTATACCCAGCCTAAAATGCACCTTAACTGCCTTTTTACTCCTTTTCTTGCTTTGTTTATTCTCCTTACCTCTGTATTTCATATATACACGTGTTACATGTATATATGTATATATAATACATGTATTATATATACATACCTCTATATTTCATATATACATGTATTATATATACATACACAAACTTATCACGTCTACATATATTCTCTTTTCATACTTTTCTCTTTCTCTGAAAAAAATGTAATCTATTATCATGAGGAAAGGAAATTTTTGAATTTTGTTCATTCCTGTGGCTATACTAGTGTCGAGCATATACTAGGAGCAAAAACATTTGTTAGATGAATAAGAAAACAAATTTAAATATACTATATATAATTTTCTTCTAGGCTACAACAACCTCTAAAGTTTTGCATACTACCAATGTTTTACAGTGACAATTTTGCATGAAACTATATATTGGAATAAAAGAATCACCCTGAAAAAAACTATACAGTTGTATAATAAACAATTACTCTTTTAAATACTGTTCGGTTATTGTAAGGAAGGCAGAAACTGACTTTCTTGCCTTGGAAGAAGAAATCAATTGACTTGAATGAATATGAAAAAGTATCATCCTCAACAGTGGTAGCTTCCTAAAACCTAATAAAAATGGACACTATACATTCAATTTAAATGCTGAATGCCTTTCTGCAAAATACCTTGTTGTGAAATCTAGCAGAGAATACATCTTTTATAATGAAAAAAACTTCTATAAATTTATTAAAACATTTCATTTAATTTTTCAAACTGTTCTAAAAATTAAGAGACTTGTAAAAAGATGATTATGGTGGAATAAAAACATACCAAAGGTGGCTTAAAAATGATTTCAAAAATAGTAAATTATAATGTATTTAAGAAAAATCAATATAGATTCTTTGTGCAACTGTTAATTCACCATGTAAACATTCTTAGATCAATTTTTATACTCTTTTCAAGGATAAAAGAACTCTCTACTTTTTCATTAGAAAACTTTTAGATGAATGAAGGTTGGTAGACGACTACATGAACAAAATTTTAATGATAAAAAGGGATTTTAAGGTATTTTAGATCTGAAGACAAGCTGTACAAAACAGGTACTCAATTCACTGTCATCTCCAAGCTGAGAGGAGAAAGAAAAAGTGAGGCATATACACAGAAAGCATTTAGTCTAACACCTAAATCATCATAATGTTGAATAAAAGCATTTAAAGACTGCTGTTACCTCGTAATGTTTGAAATCACGTGAAGTATTAAACCTATGCTTACTGTTGATTATGAGTCTTATAAAACGTAAGCTGGGAGATGTGCATAATTTTGATTTCAGTGGGTTCCCCCCTCTGGCAATTGTTAAACGCTCTTCTAGAAAAAATTAAGAGAACACATTTTTAAATTAAAAATAAAACCCTAAACACCGTTTGGTTTAACTACAGTTAAGAGCCTTTTGTTGCACTGAAAGCATTGTTGGTGGGTGGCTGCTACAGAATCAATTTTCTCAGCATACAGGATTAATGACTGCAACATAAATGCCACAATCAACACTGTCTGCGGTCTGGTTAAAAAAAAAAGGTAAAAATAAAAGAAGCTGTTTGACACTTTGCTTTAGTTACGGATTTACTGTCAAAAAAGAATATGTAGTTTATGGGATGTGGGGATTCAGCTTTGCCCATCATTCATTCACAACAAATACTAAGTGCGTACAATATCCATAACTCTGAATTTAAACACAAAGATATTCTGCATAAAGACACTACCCTTGATCTCAAAAAGTTTACCATGTTATAAAGGAAAAAATGGTTAAGTCACCAAGGGAAAACGTGCGGAGTGTCATCAAACTGATCCCCAAAGCTGTAGGAATTTAAACTGGGAAACTACTAGGGATAACTCCGGTCACAGCACAGGTTGCTTTATGGGAAAAATCAGAGCGACGTAGGTCCATCATTTCTATAAAGCGTGGGAGCGGACTAGGAGGATTCGGACTTCATGGCGGCAAGATGCTATGACTCATTCCACAATCATCAAAAGGTAGAACAAAAACCATAACTTCCCACGATCAAATATGCATATGCGACAGTATATCCATTTTCCTGTAAGAGGAGCCCAGGAGCCTGGAGGATGCTCTAAGTTGTGAAACTGCCTTCTTCTTCAGCGGGTTAGCACCAGGGCGGGAGCAGGGAGACGGGGAGTGCAGGGTGCACGGGTCCGTTCCGAGGCTATGGCTCCCTAGGACCATTCTCGAGGTGCAGGCTGGGGATGGACAGCAGCACCGAGCGCCAGGATGGTGAGACCAAGCGCGAGAAGCCCGCGAGTTCTGCGCGCCGCCCGCGCCCCGGCGGTTCCAGCTGTCCCGCCGGCTCCAGCTGTCCCGCCGGCGCCGGCTGCCACGCGCCGATGCATCCTGCCACCGCCATCCAAGGCCTAACCGCAGGCTCTTGGAGAACATCTCCAGTCTTTCCAAAGTGGCAGGCGGCAGCTAAAGGCCAAATCCCTCCCACTTGCTCACCTACCTGGAGAAAACGACCCCCTCGCGGTGGGGAGCACAAGGGCCACAAGAAGTCTGGCCTCCAAGCCTCAATCACACAGCGTGTTCCCACAGCCACCGGCCAAAATGGCGGTGCCCAGTCGCCGCCTCGCGCAAGCCATTGGGCGTAATGCGCGTGCGCGATAGTGCGCGAGGCGGAGCCCTGGATGTGGATGACGGTGTATGTGACGTCACTGTTCTGCGACTCTCAATATAAGTCACTGGGGAAGCCAGCTATAAGGAGCTGAGTGGGAGTGGCGCGCATCTGCTGCGGTCTTTGAGAATCTGAGACGTGATAAGCAGGACTGCAAGCTGTAAGTGCGCTTTTCCCCAACATAGAGAGGAACCGCTCCGTAAGTAGATGCCTTCTCCCCAGTTTCAGTCACCTATACTCGCGGTCTTCTCAGGAGAGGCGGGCCAGGTGTGCAGCCTGAGTTATTCTGGTACACCCAAGGTGTCAAGCAGGACCAACCCAGCGGATCCTGACAGCGCTCCTGGTGGCAGTCTGTCTTTGACCTCGGCTGTCTGTGTTGTGTGGTCAGTTCTTCGAGCTCACAAATCCAGTCTTCTCCGAGCTCTCTGTTTTATCCACTTGGTGGCGTCTAGTCCCAAATTCGATAGTTGAATTCTGCCCCAAGGCAGAGATGTTTTATTTTTAATGTAATGTAATGATGGCTACAGGCTTAATTTATGGCTGGAACCTATATATCCTTTTATTCATGCAGTAAATTACTTATTGAGCTTTATGTCTCAGATCTTTGCGAAGTTTACAATCCATTGTCTCTACTTTTACTTAATGAGAAGTGTTTGTGTGGCAACCTGGGAACAATTTAAGATCTAATAGGAAGTGTCAAGGAAATGGTTTATAGAACTTTTGAACTCGATTAGCATTTGAAATAATGTTCTTTAACAGTAACTGCTCCACCAATGCAGTTTTACATACCCTTCACTGTCCAAGAAGTATTCTTCACATTTGCATAGCTTTATTAAAATTAAAGATATAGAAAAGCACTATATGAGCTATCAATTTTTGTATTAATTTTTTTGCCTTTTACAAAAAGATACTCATGGGGCTGGGGATTTAGCTCAGTGGCATAAGCGCCTGTCTTGCAGCAGAGACAGTCGTGAGTTCGATCCCCGGTACCGATTAAAAAAACAAAACAAAACAGAACAGAAAGATACTCAGATCTCAGCATAATGTATATATTATTTCTTTCTATATAGACTGTTATAAAAAAATGACCACACCAAACAAGACACCTCCTGGTGCTGACCCTAAGCAGTTGGAAAGAACTGGAACAGTAAGGGAAATTGGATCACAGGCTGTTTGGTCACTCTCATCTTGCAAACCAGGTAAAGCAAAACAAAGTCAAAAACCTGTGGACAGCAGTTACTTACAGTATCCTTATACACTGGACTAACTTTAATATTCTTCCTATTTAGATGCTTCATTTTTGCTCTGATGAACTGGATTATCATTTATTATATATCTCTGTCCAGTTGCTGTATTTATGTCTAGTTAAATTTAACTTTAATGAAGTCTTCTCTTTGTCCCCCATCTCTCTGCCATAATTCAGTTATTTAGTTGGGCTTTTTTTGATGGCCATTGCCCAGGATAAGGGAGTGGTACTTTTTAAAAATTTTGTACCCGGTATTGAACTCGCAACCTCATGCTTGTCAGACAGGTGCTTATTCCACTGAGCTAAATCCCCTGCCCTGAGTGGTGCTTTTTTTAGTGAGTATACAGTGGGACTTTGGCACACAAACTTAATTCTTTCCACAGTTCTGGTCACAAACCAAATTGAACAAGAACTGAATCAAATTTCCCTATAAGTTCAACATTAAACCTAACCACTGAATTTGATTTGGTTCTTGTCCAATTTGGTTTGCGAGCAGAACTGTGTAAAGAGTTAAGCTCGTAAGCCAAGGTACTACTGTACATCCACCAAGATTTTTTTTTTTAACTTTTGCTTGGATAGAATTCTTTTCTCCTGAAAACATGTGAATGCCATTTCATTATCCTCTTTTTGCATATTTAGGATAAGAAGGCCTATGCCTCTCTCTCTCTCTTTTTTTTTTCTAAGTAACTTGTTTTTTCTGGAAGTATCTAAGATTTTTCTTTGTATTCTTGGAGTTCAAGACTTTTGGTAGGATGAGCCAGGACAGGTTCTGTGTTTATCTTTTCTTATCTATCTAACATATAATTTCTCAGGTATTTTCTTGTTTTTTTTTTTTTTTTTGTACTGGGGATTGAACTCAAGACCTTGTATGTGCCAGGCAGGTGCTTATGCCACTGAGCTAAATCCCTGGCAGGGAGGTATTTTTAATCTGTAGACTCAAGTTCAACTGAATTTCATTAGCTTGAAGAACTTAAATTTTATACTAGTTTAGCAGTTTTCTTTCTTTCAGAAACTCCTATAAGTTATACGTTAAGATTCCTGTAGCCATCTTGTCGTGCGTGCTTCTTTTGTTTCCCACAAAATTTCCTTCTTTCTTTTTATGAGTAGTTGATTGAAGTATAATTTACATAGAATAAAACTTTCTCTATGGATTTTAATAAAAACATTATAAATATCATTATAATCAAATGTAGAACATTTCCATCTTCTCCAAAAGTCTGTGCCCTTTTCTGAGCCTTTGACAACTTTTGATCAGTTTTGAGTCCATTGGTTTTGCCTTTTCCAGAACATCATTGTATAGACCTTTGGGTCTGGCTTCTTTCACTTAGTATAACTTCATTTATGAGGTTTGGTTTTGCACATATCAGTAGTTTGTTCCTTTTTAATCACTGCTTATTGCTACAGTTTATTATGAATGTGACCATAGTTTATCTATTCATTAGTTAGTAGATACTTAGATTTGTAGTAGCCAACTTCCAAAATGGTCACCAGTGATACCTTTCAATATTCATACCATTTTGTACTCCTTTCCCACATTGTGACCAGCGGAGTATGACAAAAGTGACAGTATACAATTTCTGAAACTAGGTTATAAAAGATATTACAGATCTTCTTGCCTTGATAGGATCACTCACTCTGGGGGTAATCAACTGCCATGTTTTGAGGAAACAGGTAGTCCAATGGAAAGGTTTGGTGAGGAACCACAGCCTCCTAACAATAACCAGTAACAAACTGAATCCTGTTGTGTATTAGAGCAAGCCATCTTGGGATACATCCTCTGTCTCCAGTCAAGCCTTCAAGTAACTGCTTCTGTAGGGATTTAGCTTGACATCAGTGTGGCCATTTTGAATTATAATTGCCAAAATTGTCCTTGAATAAGCCTGGTTGATTTTTCTTGTATAATTTCCCAGCAAACAATAAGTAAGACCATTAAAGTAATGTGTAGGGCTTTAGGACCCAGACCCTGGTAACCACAGTACCAAGAATGTGCCTGACACCTTTGCTATTAGTTTGAGATACTTTACAGTTTAATGAAGTCACTTTTGTACCGATTGTTATAATAAACTCCTTCCTTTTACCTTAAATTGTGGGGACCCACCTGTCTTGTTGCTGTCCCAGACATGATACTTCTGTACCTAAGACTCCCATATAAATGCCTTCTGTGAAATCCTGGATCTCTGCTTCTTTGTTCAGTCACACATTACCCTGTGGCTGGTTCCATAGACATACTGTTAAGTTCAACTTTATTCTTTCTAATTTTTCTGCCTGATGGATCGTCCATGATGGATAGAGGGGTGTTAACATTCCCAGTTATAATAGGTCTTGTCTATTTTGTACAGTTCTATCAGTTTTTTCTCAGGTACCTTGATATTCTGTTGTTAGGTGCATGTATATTTAGGATTATTGTATCTTTTTGTAGAATTGACACCACTGTATGATGCCCTTTTTATCCCTGATAACTTCCTTTGTTTAAAAGTTCTGCTTTGTCTGAAATTAAAATAGCTACTTCAGCTACTTTTAATTAGTGATAGATCTTTCCCCATCTCTTTATTTTTAAACTATCTTTGTTTTTATATGTAAAATAGTTTCCAGAAGAAAATTTAGATGTGCCTTGTTTTAAAATTCACTGTCTCTGTCTATTCCCTCTTCTTTCTTTTTAATATTTTACAAGGCAGATCTGCTGGTGATAGATTTCCCCAAGATTTGTTTGTCTGAAAGTTTTTGTTCTTTCATTTTTGATTAAGAAAATTTAAAAAAGCCCTTCCTTCTTCCTTCTTTCTTTCCTTTCTTCATTTCCTCCTTCCCTCCATCCATCTTTTCTTCCTGATTGAACATAGGACCTTCTCACTGAGCCATGTGCCCAGTCCTTTTGTATTTTTAATTTTGAAACAGGGTCTCAATAAGTTGCTCATTCCAGTCCTCCTGCCTCAGCCTCCCAAAGGACTGAGATTACAGCTGTGTACCAGTGTCTAGATTTTTTTCATTATAACATTTCAAGTAGTTTACTCTCTTACTGCTTTCTGAAGAGAACTCTGGTGTAACTTTTATCCTTATTCTTGTATGTGAGAACCCCTCTCCCTCTTCCTCCTCTTCCCCCCTCCCTTGCCCTTCTTCTTTTTATCCTCTCTCCTTCTCTCCCTCTCCCTTACTTGGCAAGATCTCATTATATAGTTCAGTTCGGTTTAACTTTGAACTCACTGTGTAGCCTGAGCTTCTTGGGTCTATGGTTTGGTGTGTTGTCATTAATTGTAGAAAATTCCAAGCCATTCTTCAAATCTTTTGTGTTCTCATATGTGCTTATTTATTTAGTGGTAGGGGGATTAAATCTAGGGCCTTTGCACTAAGCTATATCTCCAACCTTTTTTTATTTTTGTTTTGGGACAGACTCTTATTAAGTTGCTAAGTTGCCCAGGCTGGGCTGACTTAAGACACTCCTGCCTCAGCCCCTAGAGTGCTTTTTCTTCTGATGTTTAATTACATTCTTGCCACTTTCTGTAATTGCTATAACTGGGGTGTTACAGCCTAAATTCCTCCAGTGTCTTTGTTTTTCTCTTTTGTCTTTGGGTTTCTCTAGAATCAAAATAGATCAAAGATATAAATGTTAAAATAGAAACAATCTGGTGGAATATAAAATACAAAAATCTTAAAGTTATACATGCAGGAAAGGACTTTCTGAAAAGAACTCCAATGGCACAAGAAATAATACTCAGAATCAACAAATGTGATTTATCAAATCAAAAAGCTGTGCACTACAAGGAAACAATCAACAGAGTAAAAAGATAACCTATAGCACGGGAAAAAGTTTTGGCAGGTATCCCTCAAACATAACACTAACATCTAGAATGTATAAGGAACTGAAAAAAAAAATTGACTTCCCAAAATAAAAACCCAACCTAAAAATGAGCATAGACTCTTTTCAGAAGCAGTATAAATGGCCAATAAATACATGAAACATGTTTCAACATCACTAGCTATTAGATAAATGCAAATTAAAACTACATTGAGATTCCATCTCACTCCAGAAAGTATAGCTTTTATCAAGATATTAATAACAAATCTTGGTGAGGCTGCAGGGAAAAAAGAATCCTTGTACACTGTTTATGGGAATGTAAAGCAGTACAACCACCATGGAAATTAATATGAAGATTTCTCAAAAACTAAAAAAAAGAAATTCCATTTGACCCAGATAGTCCCTATTAGAAATTTTCTTAGAAGATATACAGTCATCTTACTACAGTGATACATGTATACCCATGTTTATAGCAGTGAAATTCATAATAGTTAAATCTTGGAAGCAGCTTACACGTCCATCAACAGATGAATGGACAAAGAAAATGGGATATAAAAATATAAAAATATTGGAAGGCAGTGAGGAGGAAAAATGATAAACATGAGATTGGAAATAAAATAAACAAGGGCCAGATAATAGGGAACTCTTAGAGGCCAAGAAAAGGAAGTTGATTTTAAGGACAAAGGGAAACCACTGGAAATATTAAACAAAAAAGCAGAGAGATATTACACAAAAATTTTTAAAGAGTCACCGTGGATAGTAGTTGCTGGTAGACCAACTGTGAGTGAAGGAAAGGCTATTTGTGAATTATGTAAGAGATGGTGCTGATTTTGCCTAAGGTGTGAGCTGTATATATGGCTTTGGGATATATGTGGGGGGGGGTTATAATTATGACTTACTGAAGGACAGGAAAGATTCAAGAACAATTTCCTAGAGTGTGGTCGAACTACCAATACTACTTTTTGGGTTGAGAAATAATGAAAGGAAAAGGGACTCAATATATTTTGAGTTCAAAGATAAATAATTTGATTTGGATATAACTTTTGCAGTGCCTCATCAGCATTTTGGTGGCAGTGTTTAGTGATCAAGTGACTATAGAAACTTGCAGTTCTGTTGAAAGCTGTGGGTTGTGGATAAATTTGAGGGTCAACAATATGTTGATGATATTCTAAGTCAGGGAGCTGCACTAACTCACCTAGGGAGAAAATATAGTTAGAGAAAAGAGTGAAGTTTTCAGGTACTTTCAGCAGCAGAAGAATTAACAAAGAAAGGGTACTACAGAAAAGTATCCTTTGGACTGGGGATATAGCTCTTGGCACTAGCACTTACCTGGCAAGCGAGAGGTTCTAAGTTCAATTCCCAGTACAACCCCCCCATCCCAGTGCTCTTTGAACTAGGAGGAAAAGCAGGAGTGTGGGAGATCATGGAAAGAAACTATAATGGTCCATTTTCTGTAAATATACTAAGTTAGCTGAGGTTGGGTAACTTGTGAAGTAAAGAGGTTTACTTAGCTCACAATTTTGGAGATGAAAAGTAGAATATCAGTTGCCTTCCTTCTGCCATCTCTGGTGAGGGCACTCTGGCTGTTATTGTACAGTTGAGAAGCTGTAAAGGAGACAGCTGCATGCAAAAGGGGCCAAGTACAATATAGGGAGTGGACTTCTTTTATAATCACTCTGAGAGCTAACTCACTTTAAGAGACCAGCGTTAATCATTTTGAGTGATTAACCACCCAATACTAGGTCCTTCCTCTTAATGGTTCTACTGTGGTACCACCACGATGTTAGAAACCAAATCTCCAGCACATGAAGCTGTGCTAGACAAACCACATCCAAATCATAACAGAAGCCAAGAGAAGACAGGGTTTCATAAGTTAGTTAATTCTTTTCTTCAGTATAGCTATTATGTTGGACAGTGTAGATTTAGAAGAGGAAGAGACCCAGTGGTTATTTGCATATCAGAGAGCCAGAGGGTCCAGGAGCAGCTGAAGGTAGGCCAGGAAGCTCACTGCAGTCACTGATGGGAGTTTGCATTGGAAAGCCGAAGAGTCTGGTTTGGAAGGCTGAAGTCTGCCCTGGAAGCTTGAGGGAAATGGAGACAAGTTTCCAAAGATGGTGATGAAGACTGGCGCTTCTCCAGTGCGAACAGTCAAGACTTCTTTCCATTTTAACTTCGTCTAGGCTATAAGCCACTCATAATCTAGAATGAGTCTTCCCTTCTCACTTTGGGGCCTACATGTCAGTCCTCCAGAGATACATGAGCTTTATGCATCTGCTGAGTTGTTCTCACTCAAATCAAGTGAACATACGACAATTAATCATCAGAGGCACATAGTTGATTAAATAGATGTTTAGGTTTTTTCATATTAAGTCTTCAAAATTTAATTAAAAGTTTCAGAGTATCTTGAGTTTCACTAGCAATGGATAGATGATAGATGGTCCTGTACATTATTGGTGAAGAAGCATTTTGGGGGAGAATTTGACAGTATTTGTCAAGTTAAAAATTTAAATGACCTGGATTCTATTCTAGTTCATTCTCAAGATTGTAACATTTATAAAGATTATAAATAGACATTTATCATAGTATTGTTTATTGTGCTAAAATATTGAAAACTAAATGCCCTATAGGGATTTCATTAAATAGTTATAATATTTCTGGACAGTGATATATAAACTTCAAAAACATGGAAGCTGTTTATGTTGAGGTATTATATATTAGTAAATATTAAATGATTTACTATGTATAGAATGATTAGAATATGTCTGGCTTATTAAATGCAGTTTATGTCTGGCTCATTAAATACAGCTTATGATAATTATTATAATTGTTAAATTATTGATATGGAATAATCTTCCAGCTATTATGTAATATGGGTGGAAAAAGAATACTAAGAACAAAATTATGTAGTATGCCACCATTTGTGTTGAGAGGGTGAGAAAAGGGAATACACATCCTTGCTTGTGTACATGCAGTGTCTGTCTGTGGATAGGCACGATACTGATAGCACTGATGATATTTGGAGAGAACAAGATGGAAGGTAGATAGTAATTTTTACCAGGTTCTTTTTTGTACTTTTTCAGTTTGATCCATAATAAATATGTTAATAGTAAAATGTAAATTAAATCCACTTTCTTAACTTTTTTTTTTGAAAAATCTACTTGTTACTCTTAGTTTCATTTGTAGAGTTAGTAAACATTATTGTGGTTTTAATCAGGAAAAAACCCACAAGATCATTTCATTTTCAGTCATCCAGAATGGTTGCAGTATATAAGATTCTGGGAAAATTTAATTTTGGTTAACTAGAAGCACTGCCTTTCAAAATGTTTTTTGAAAATATTTCTCATCTATTTTCTTGTTGTAATGGCATGGTAAACGTAGAGATTATTTTCAGAGATATTACAGGATGCAGAGATCACTCTTATAGTCATATTATGAAAGGTATGAAAAATTTTTGAATACATATAATCTTTAGCATATATATCTGAGAAGAGGTTTTTTGCAAAACCAATGTCTACAAGAAGTTGTAATAATAAGCTTTGTATGCTAGTGATATTTCTTAAGAATTGAGAATTGGATTAAAAAAATGGAAGAATTCTGGTTGTTTCATATTTCTAATAATCTTGTTTATCAAGTTTTCTGGACAAATATATATGATAGTTTTATGTTTTGATTATATATCTCTTTTATAATGGGAATTTATTGTCATTTTTGTTATTTTTAGGATTTGGAGTGGATCAGTTACGAGATGACAATCTAGAAACTTACTGGCAATCAGATGGTTCCCAGCCTCATTTAGTGAATATTCAGTTCAGGTAATAACTTTTTGAAATTTTCAACTGATGTGGGTAAGTACATTTATTTTACTTATGTAAAATTTAAAGAAATATAGAAATTAAATGATATATACCTGACTATGCTTTGAAACTCTAAGACTAGTTTTTGCTTAATTAGATTACAAGCATTTTAAATTGTGTGAATTTCTTGTGGTACCTATTCAATTCCTTTATGTAGTTGTTTCTCAAATATATTTTCCAATATGATTTATATTTAGAAGATACTTTTAGAAAAATATATTTCGCTTATGACCTGTTATAGTATCTTAATGTATTCCATACAGGAAACATGGAGTGACGGTGTTAAATTCTTTAACTATGGGAGTACTTATGTAACTTCTCAAATTTGGAGTACCATTTAGAAAAAAATTATTTTAGCTTTGAACCTCTAAGGACAGTTTCAGCTTGAACATGCTTAGTTTTTTGGAGAAAGGAAAGCAACTGTGTCTTTATCAACTGATCTGAATTTTTTTTGTTGTTACTGTTTTTGGTTTATTATGTAGTTCAGACTGGCCTTGAACTCACTATGTGCTGAAGTTGGCCTTGATCTCATAGTGATCATCCTGCCTCAGCTTCTTAGGTGCTAGGATTATATATCACCATGTCAAGAAACTGATTTTAATTTATTGACATAGATGGAAACCAGTTAACTTGGTTATCTTGCTTCACTTATATAATGTATGTTAACATTCTGTTGCTTTGTATTTTTGTTTTAATTGTCCTAGAGTGCAGATCAGCAAATGTCACTTAATATAGCCAAATAATAAGTATTTCAATCTTTGTGTGCTTTTTTCCTCCCTTGCAAATAAAACTGTGTGGAAGAGCAGTGAGTAAAACAGATAATAAAAATAGGTCATACTGACTACACTTTTTGAACGTTTATTGTCAGGTATTACATTATCTCATGTAAGTGCTTCAATTTAATGTTTTAATAGGATTATAAATGTTTCATTTTTGTAATCCATATAACAACAGTTTTGGATGTGTGTTCTATCAGTTTTTTCATTTTGCACTTAAAGAAAATGACACTTGGAAAGATTAAATAAATTCCACAGGTTCTATGCCAAAGAGTTATGGAGTCAGAATTTGATCTCATCTGCTTTGACTTCAAAGGCTAGGTTTGTAATTAGTACACTGAGCTCTTGTGAACAGGAAAGTATAGTTGGTCTCATTAAAACAGTCAGGAACTCCAGGTCCTTACTTAACTCAGCCCTTGCCTCCAGACAGAAAGTCTAAGGCTTCGAAGAAGACATTTTTAAACAAGTGTTTTAGGGAAGGAGAAATTTGTTAAGAATTTTGAAATAGGGGGTGGGGATTTAGTTCAGCGGCATAAGCGCCTGCCTGGCAAGTGCAAAGTTGTGAGTTTCAATCCCCAGTACCAAAAAAAACAATTTTGAAATAGAGTTATAAAGAAGTACAAGTACAGAACAACTTTTCTTTCCCTGAGTCATTTCAGAATAAGTTGCCTTATCTTTTATATCTGTGAAATACTTTATGTCATTTCTATAACAATTTTTTCTGTATGAACAAAGATACATGCTTAGGAAATTTTATTTATTTATTTAGAGATACAGTCTTACTATGTAGTTCAGGCTGGCCTTAAACTTATGGTGATCTACCTGCCTCAGCCTTCTGAGTGCTGGGATCATAGGAATATACCATTATATCGGGCAAGAAATTAAATTTTGATGCACTATTAGCATTTACTTATGTAATTCTGTTTAGTTTATATCAGTTCCAATAAAGTTGAATCCGGTTGAATTTTTTAGTTACTTTTCTATGCTTCCTCTTGATCTGGAACAAACATATCTTTACTCTTTCCTTGACTTTCATGGTCTTGACACTTTTGAAGATTATAGACCATTTATTTTAATGAATGTCCCTCAAATTAAGTTTGATATTATTCCTTCATCAGTAACTTTAGGTTATACATGTGGGAAAATAGCACAGAAATGGTGCTGTATCCTTTTCTTTGCATCCTGTCATGTGAGGTGTGAATGTGATCTTCCCCCATTACTGGTGATGTTTGCTTTTATCACATATTAAGATAGTATATACCCCTCCATAGAAAAGTTACTCCTTTACTTTTGCAGTAAGTAAGTATTTTATGGTACCTCGAGTATCTTATTCCTCTTTTAACTTTCCACTTTGTCCAAATAAGAGTTTCCAGTTTTACTCACCAGATATAATTATTGTTACTATTTTTGTTTCAGTGCTCACATTATCCCAGATTTGGCACTGGGAATCCCTCCAAAGTGGCTGTATGACTTTATGATACATGCCTGTGACTACTTGGATAGTTACTTTTTTACTGGCAGCACTTTGTGGCTTGGCCTGGAATCAGCTTTTTCTCAAAGGGGATCTGGATTTGTATTTGCGTGTGACCTACATATATTCCCTCACTCTGCGCACTGAGGAGGTTCAAGAACAGCAACATCCTAATAGCAAAGAGACATCTAATACCAGATGTGTCTCTGTGTACTGTTGTAATTGGTGGTTTAGTGGGGAGTAAGTTTAACTTCACTTCATATTATGATATGTATGGCTGCTGCAGATCAGATGTGATCTTAGAATGCAGTGATGAAAGCATAGGACTATTTACAAAGCCTTTGTCTTAGTTACTTTTTCTCATTGCTGAGACAAAATATCCCATGCACAAAATTAAAGGAGGAAACGTTTATGTGATTCACAGTTGATAGAGGTTTCAGTCCATAGTCAGCTGGCTCCAAGGCAGGGTAGTATGGCAGAGGAGCATCACAGAGAACAACAGTTCATGGTGGACAGAAGGCAGCAAAGCAGTGAAGCAGGGAAGAACCAGCAGCCAGTAAGCAGCAACAGTAGTTCTTTCTGTCCCTTTTCCTCTCTGCGGGCTACCACGCTCAGGTGCAGGTTGGGGCACCCTTATTCCTAGTACATCACCATGAACCAATCCCAGCAGCACGTCCTTAGTCCCAGTATCACACACTTTAGGTACTCCCAGAAAAGATTTAGTGAATTATTTTCTATTCGGTAGGGTCAGTACTCTTATTGTTGAAATTTTATTAAAAGTAATGTCTCTCCTCAAACAAACCAAAAATAGTGAAAAGGGTGTTGTTATTTTGTAATTTCTGTGAATCTCTTTGGTGTCTGACTGAAAACTGTCAGAATCTCATTTTTGCTTTTTTGTTAAACATACTGCAGCATCCCATGGCAATTAGCCTTGAAAAACTCCACTGTATACTTAGAATGATTGTGAAAAAGGGCAGGTGGCATTTTAGTGTTATTAAGAAAATAGTTGTAACCTTGCCGATCTCCTGAAAGGGTCTTAAGGTCCCACATGGATCTTGAAGGTCATTAGTGAGGTTTGTATATTTAAGGTCTCTAATGAATGTCCCAGATATTTGAAAGAACTGCCTGCTTTGTTTCTTGGAAACTCTTTTTACATCCCGGCCCTCTGTGACCTCTGGGAATCATTTGACTTACCACTTCCCAATGATTGTTCTTTCCCCAGTGGTGATTCTTTGCCTGTTCTTGTGCAGTTCCACCCTACCCATGCAGATTGGTATTTGTAGAAAGGCTCAAGGGTACCAGATGAGGAATTTCGTTTTTCTCTATGTAGGTTCTTCCTCATCAGTGTGGTGAGACTGCCAGATCCTCCTGCCTTCTTCACTGATTGCTTGCATTCAGACCATCTAGTTACTTGTAGAGCTCAACTCTTTTTTCTTTGGAGTCATAGTCCTTTGCTGGCTGTTGCTCAACATCTGTAGATAACTGTTTCACATGTTTTCCCAGGGTTCTAGTTGTTTATGGTAGGAAAGGAAGTCTTATAATAGTTATTTCTTCATGAGCAGGCATTGTAGACTTTTTTTTTTAAAACAAACTATGACTACTGAAAATTTTTATTAAGGTCTCATATGTCCTATTGTCTTTTTTTTTTTTTTTTTTTTGAGACAGGGTTTCACTATGCAGTTCAGGCTGGCTTTGAATTTACTTTGTAGCCCAGACTGGCCTCAAACTCACAGTGATTCTATTGGCTCAGCCTCCTGAGTCCTGGAATTACAGGTGTGTGGCAACATCCCTGGCTTCATATGTCCTTTTAAAATAATTTTTGTTTTCTTTTAGACTTGAGTGAAAATGATCATTTTAATATCCTGCTAACATTGACTAGAAACAAACTTCCCACAAAGAGAATATTTTTTCACTCTTATATTAGGAACGAAGAGTAGAATCATTTATAAATGTAAGTCATTTGTTTGATTTTTGATTTGGACAAATATGTGAACTGTGTATTTTTTCTTTTATGTCTCAGTCTTCTGGTAGAAGGAATGATAAGCAGGATTTCATAATCATTTTGCTTTTTAAGTCTTATACTTTAGAAGTTATTAGTTATTGTTGTAGTCAGGGGTTGTACACAGAGGACAATTAGAATCAAGACATAGAGTTTATAATATTATTTTTATAATGGTCACTGGGAGTTAACTTTGAGTGTGACTTTTCAGCTCCAGCGTAAACACTCATACCACTAGCACAGCTCCTTCATCCTGCTGGCATAGACTTTCTGGCTTCCACCGCTGACCCATGGATCCATAAAAGAAACTGGCGTGAGTCCTTCTTGTGGGCTCTGGACCTCCAGTTGGACTCGTGGGAGGCACTGTCCTGAGCTCTGGATTTTTATCTGGACTTATGCGGGACATTGCTGTGGGATTCAGGCTCTTGATTAAATAATCTGTCTTTGGTGTTGCGGATGTATTTCCTGCATTTTCCTGCAGGAAAAACAACAAAGACAAGGACTGTCCTGAAAGGCACCACAGCCATCCTCAGTGACATGGAGGCTCCGAGCTCCTCCGACAACAAGCATAGTCGGGTACGTGCCAGGAAGCCAGTGTGATGAGTTCATCCTGGAGACCAAGCGGCACATGTCTTCCTCTCCGGAGCCAGGAAGCAATGCTCGATGTGAGGACCAAAGTTTTTCCAGGAGAACCAACAGCTCACACAACAAA